ACGATCGCCGCGATAGCCGTAATCGTAAGCATAGTTTTCGTCGACTATTCGGAGTACGTGTTGTGGGTATCGGTGGCTGTGTATGGGGTCGGTGTCGGACCCTTCATCGGACCCGTGTATCAGTTACTGGCTCAGGTCACCCAGGTTACCAATATGATCGGGGTGATTATGACGTTTAGTCGTAATTTAATGGGTATATTAGTGCCTATAATTTTGGGCAAAACAATGGAAACGAATGTATTTTCGCTGTTTTATATGGATTTGGCACTAATTGGCGTTTCCCTAATACTTACGATTGTTATACATATAGGTGTTAATAGAATTAATAATAAATAAAAGTGAACCTGATTATAATTATTTTTATAAAATTTATAATTTTTACTTCTTAATAATGCTATAACATAATTTAAAATAAATAATAAAATTATATTAAATCAATTATTATTCTAATTATTATATTATGACTATTATGTGATAATAATTAAATTAAATTTAATTTAATTTAAGATGGGGTAGAAAATTGTCATATCCTTTAAAAAGTAAATCTAAAAAATTGTTATAAAATTATTTAAAATACAGTTGGACAAGTATAATAATAAATAATAACATATAAGTATCGTTAAGGTGTTCAATATATCATATTAATTATTATATGACAGTATGGGCTGTAAGCATATTAACAGATTGCAAAAATCAATGGACGTGTATTCATTAGTGTATTCACAAATAAATAAACATACCTTACTAAAACTAACGCTAATATTCTGTGTATTCATAGACTGCATTCAAAAAGTTCATTTCAAATAAATCTAAGAATTTACAGTCAGTTTTGATCAAAGGTTTTAATTTGAAAAAATTAGTTAAACATATCGTGCGCTCAAAATGATGGGATACTTAATTATAAGTTTCGTATTGTATTATACATTGAGATTCAATGGATGAGTGAATGGTTTTAACAGTGATTTCGCAAAACTAGAGAATCTCTTAACGCAAGAGAAGGCAATGATTGAGTCGTTGAGTGAATATTTGGTGTCCGAAGAGGTCCTCAATTCACGCTTAAGACGATTGACAGACAACTCATTGAGTTTGAACTCAATTGCACTGAAAGGGGACACCGATGGCTCACTTTTAGGACATCCACTCGACGTATATCTCCTCATCAGACGAATGTCTATCGACTGGAAAGAAGTGAACGATTTGTTAAGAACCAAAAGCCAGCGCTTAAGTGATGTCCAAATGAGACAAATCGGTGGTCACTCTAACCATACAAATGCACTCAATGTCACGTTTGACTTCCAGTGTGTGGGCAGTAGTCATAAGATTATCACTAATCAGGAGCTAAAAGGTATTCAAAAGAAGTTTTAATTCATAATAGAGGTGTTAATGAAATTTATTGAAACTTGTGAACAGACGCCGCGTTTGGAGTGATAAGTCTCGTCAATACTTATGAGTTGGATATCAAGTCAATAGCGAATGGATTCATTAGATCTAAGACCAGTTCCGGTGCTGAAGTGTCTTCACATGAAAATCAATCCAAAGTTGCTTTAAATGCTTTCGATTGCTATTTGATTGGAAAACAAACGTTTGATAACAAGGAGTACTCGAATGCAAAGCAATGGCTGACAGAAGCGGTCGACAGATTGGATGACATGACCAGCGATGAGATAATTTCAGACATTTTCAATTACCTGTTGTTTTGTGAACTGAAAGTTCGAAAACCAAGTGAAGCCCAAAAATATAAGAGATGGTCGGCCGCTATAAAGCCTGACATCGAGACAAATGGGTTGAAATCGGAGATGAAAGTGGTGCATGACACAAATGGCACCACTCCTCGTCTCTAAGAGAGACCTATTTTTCCTTTATATCCAAATGTATATGAATTATGTCGAGGAGAGAGACTTATGAACGACTCGATCGCCGCGAAACAAGTGTTTTCACTTAAACACAACGAAAACACCGTTTTTACGGTTGACTCGCATTCGAGTGGAAGAGATGTACAA